TGCGCCGAGATCAGCTTCTGCTGGCGGGAGCTGTGTGCGTCAGTTCGGGAGCAGGTGGTGTGCTTCGGCTCGGTTCCGAGGGCCAGCAAGGCAGAAATCTCGTGTAAAAGCTTATTTTCAAACGTGGTTTATGAGTTGTGCCTCCCTTTATCAGCTTATGCTATAAGGTTGTTGTTCTTGTTTTAAGAAAATGGCACGCCAGAAGTGCCTGCTGAAGGATGGAGAAGGTTTACCAGAGAACAGATATTCACAATGGTCGCAACAGCTTCTATCAACTTCAGCTCAATGATCTGCTATTCAATCCTGGGACCCTTTTTCCCTGCAGAGGTAAACCAAGAACTTAACCAACTGCTCTCCTTTTTTTTTTTTTCTTCCCTATGTTGAAACTTTTTAGTAGATCTTGAGCATCACAGGACTTTTTCGAGCTGGATCCTGTCTACAGACCAATTTCATCTACCCTGTGGCTGCAGAGGGGACGTACAGAAACGTCCTCAACACTTGCTTGCCTTCAGGGGTCTGCAGATTTTCCGACAGGTCTTCAGCTCAGCAGCCACTTCAGCTGTCACCTCTGTAGGCACCTGTATCTTCTACATGCTCTTAATGTAAAATATTAGTAAATATGAGTAAAATATTTTCTTAGCCCTATGTTGTGTAGCAGTTTGGTGGTAGAACTGAGGTGAAAACTCCAGTTGTGTCCTGACTTGCACTGCAGTGCCTTAGCCACTCAGTGGCTGTTTTTCTTTACACCTACCCCCTTGCTAGGTCATGTTGGCCATCTCTCACTGTGTTAAACATATGGGCCTGGTAAGTGGTGGGGAAAAATATCTCTCTCATTGTATTGAGTGAGTGCAGTACTTAAAATAGGGATGAAACAAATTGTCCTAGTGCCTTTGCAGCAGAAGTGTTTTCTTTCAAGTCCAAGTTGTTCCTAATTATCCAAGCTAATAATCTAAAGAAATCAATAGAAAAATCTAACAGAAAAATCTTTTTTTTCTGAATAGTCGAGTGAACTATCTGTGCATCAGGAACATACTTTGCCACCGCAAGCCCTCAGTGGGACAGGTCAATCATTTGCCTGGTGTTTGTTATGGGGATACAATGAAGATAACAAACTTTCCTGTTTGCCTTCCTACTGTGACCGGGGGATCTATATAAGTCTGATCACCTGTTTAGCAGTACAGCAAACAGCCCAGAATTTCCATTTCATTGCAGAATGAGCATTGATTTTTCCTTTATTAAATATATTTTAAATAGAGGAACAAGATGTCTTTAAATTGCTGTGTTGTGCCCTTATGAACCTTTCTTCTCTTTGAGAAATAAGATAGCCTTGTAACTGAGCTGATGGAGGATAAAAAAAGAACTAGTGCAAGGCTTAAGTGTTATTTGCCTCGGGAGTTTGCTTTCATCTTTACTAAATTGTTTTTTTTTTCTTTTTTTGCTTTTCTCCCTCTGCAGGCAGAAAAAAAAGGTGCCAGTAACACAATTGTTGGCATGATTTTTGGATGTTTTGCTTTATTCAATTTCTTGACTTCTTTAATCTTGGGAAATTATGTAAGTATAATTCAAATTAATTTATTTCTGTGATGACACAGGGTGATGCATGAAGACAGGTCCATGAGGCAGAGTAGAGCGGTGTTTCTTTGATACTGCCTTTGGAGGCTTGCCTTTACGTTAGGTGGAGCCTGGCTAGTCAGTCTGAATGGAGATTGTCAGTACAATTTAAAAATTCCTCTTCCCTACAACTCTTGAAGATAGGATAAGGTAGCTGATGTGTTTGTGGTTTGCTCCTTCTGTTAATTATTTTGTTTGCATCAGAATAATCCGCTTATTCTTTATTTTGCTTCCCTTTTCCCATAACCTACTGTTTTCCACCCCTTTCTATTTATTGCACTTTTTTATTCTGTTTGACTTGGTCTATTTTGTAAGGCCTTTTTCTGGTATGCTGCCTTTTCATAACATTTCCTCTCATTACAACACCCTGCACCTTAGCTCCCTTTCCTTTTATCACTCCTATGACGAGTTAAATGTGTCTGTTTCTTGCAACTTAAGTTCTCATGCAGATTCAGGATTTTGTTTTTTTCTTGCTAGAGGAGTTACAAATAAATTACATGACAGTTTGTACCATATGCTGAAGCACCACTGGTTGGCTAGACCTGCTGGATCGTACCCTAAGTTGGGCTCCTGCAATTTCACCGTGTTTTGGTTCTTTGGCTGCCAGATCTCTACCCTGACCCATGGTGAATGTGTTTCTCCTGGGGATGAGGTGGCTCCTCATGCCGTTGCATGAGTGCTCAGTCCAACCTGAGGTGCCTTCAGCTATGGCACAAACCTCACCGAGATCTTGCAGGTGGGAGGGAGCTGGCTTCAGAGAAGATGCTGAAATGATCAGGTCTTTATCAAGAGAGGTGCATGGCCCAGCAGTCATGAGGTCATGAGGATTTCAGTGAAACTCAACAAACTAGGGGCTTCAATGGCAGAAGCACAAAGACTTTGCTGAGGTCTGAACAGGTTGAAATGTCCATTTTCCTTAAGGGAAGTTACAGCATAGAATTAGAAGCCCAGATGTGCTTTGTTGCTGGATTGAGTTAGCTCATGGCATGCCATTGCCCAATGATACTGTCTGAAATGAATGACTGTGAAGCCTATTTCTGGCAATTTTAAGCCTGAGGAAGCTGGAGTTGCCCTGTTTCCTATTCCAAAACTTTGTAGTATTAAAGCTCATAGTAAAATTGCTACCGAGTCAGCTCCCCTGACTCTCTTCTGCCATAAATGCGGTGGGGACCTCTTTGCTGACTTGGTGCCTCTGGCAGCCCTGTAATTGACTGTGTTACTGAGGGTAGCACATCACTGCTGGTGGCAGTGAATGCTGCTGCACTCTGCTGCTGTACAGAAGCTGCAGCAACCAGCTGTGAAATAGTTAACTGCACCAGTGTCTTACCATTCTGAAAACTGGGTTAAGTCACTTAACCATTTAGAATATTTTTAGGTTCAGTATTGTATGGAGGCACACAGGCAGGAGCACTTTCTCCACATCTGTTAACAGTGTTTTCTATGAAATGCCCATTATGTTTTGATTTATTAACAGCAATGTACTTTGAAATATTTTTGATTTTGATATGTGAAATGATTTGATTTACAGCTTACACAAATAGGAGCAAAATTCATGTTTGTGGCAGGGATGTTTATTTCTGGATGTGTTACAATTCTGTTTGGGTGAGTAATTTTTGTTTTTTATTGCATTTTTTTCTGATTTATGTTCATTCGTGTGAAAAGATGTTCATAAAATGAAGTTGAAAACTTGTGGACATCTTTTAGGTCACAACTTTTTTCATCTTTGCTTTCTATCTCTCCCTTATAAGGCGGAATGAACACTTCTCTCTTTCAGTATGTTTATTTCTTTCTTTAAAAAAGTATTGATTGCAAATGCAGCATTGAGACTCTTGTAACTGTGACCCTTGAAGAAGAAGAAGACCTAAGAAGGGCATTTTCAGAAGCCTTTAGCAGATGGCTTGTCCCATCCTGAAAACTTGCTCTTTTTCAGAATGCTGGACAAGGTGCCCAGTGGACCACTGTTCATCGCTTTATGCTTTTTAGTAAGAGCAATGGATGCAATAGGTTTTGCAGCAGCAATGACAGCATCATTCTCAATCCTTGCGAAGGCATTCCCCAGTAACATAGCTACTGTCATGGTAAGCACCAAAAATGATATTATAGCTGGTTACTCGCAACACAGTGAATTACCTGCCTAAAACCAGTTGGATAAAATTTGCTCTGTCATATTCAGATGTATTTGAAATTGTCACATAATGTTCATTCTTAATTTAGAATCACAATTCTAGAACAAGTTCACTCCTTAGCTTAGCTTCAATTAAATATAATTAATCAAACAGTATGTATTGTTGCTTAAATTTTGAAGACAGCTCACTGAATTGACAGTAGTAGTAATCTCTTAAATTGAAAGCAGGTTATTAGAATGATAATTCAGATTTAAATAGCCACATAAGTGATAGGAACATTCATGACTAGTTTATTCAACAGATTTAAATAATTCATCCAAATACGTTGATTTAAATGATTTAAATTTAAATTCATCCAAATATGTTGATTTAAATGTTTTAAATTTAAATTCATTCAAATAAGTTGATTTAAATGAATGAGAGATACAAAACTGGAAATAACTTTGGTTTTGTTCTCCTTGCATAATCTGTTAAAATAAAGAGTGGTAAGATCTTGACAAGATATGAGGAAAGCTATAAATCTAAAGAGTTTGTGGTCATCAGTGATTCAGTCCAATTACAGATTACTTAAACTGGCTTTTTTATACTATCTGGGGGAAAACACTTCATATTTAATAAAATGTCTCTTTAATTCTAGTTTCAATTAAAGAAATAACTGGCTTAACAGTTATTCACTAATTAAAGCTTAAGAACATCCTTCAGAGTATTTAATAAAATTGAGAAAGTTGATGCTTTTTTCAGATTCTTGTTAAGTCTTGTAGTGGCTTTTCTAAATGGATATTAGAAAACTATTAAATTGTATCAGCAATAAGGAACTGGCATTTTCTTTGAAAATGGGGTAATATGTTGTAATCATACTTTGAATCTATTCTGATAGTAATGTTAAGTTTTCCCATTTGCAAATTTTAAAATGCAATTTAAATAGCTAAATAAAGAAAGCTCAACTTAAAAGAGCCTAACTGCAAGTAAAGGATGTATGTACAGTTTTCTGTGTTACCATCAGACTTCAAGGAAAAATAAGTTGTCCGAAACACCAATGACAACACAATAAAAACTCGACAAGCTGAGTTTTCCCCAGTGCAATTTCAGTGTTACTCCCTACTTAGAGTCACTAAATCCAGACAGTTGGTTGTGGGGTGAAACACCTACCTCGCCTTGGGCTGTAGCATAACTTTGCATGTGGGATAAGTGATCCCTTTGGCCAGAGCTGCCCTAAGGATGCTGCCTATCAGCAAAGCAATGGCCCTGTCTCAGGAGCTGGGAACATTTGGTACCAGCTGAGTGACTGACGCTGCAATGCTTCAAATACAAATAGTTCTCTGTAATGAAGCAAAAAGGGTAGTAGCTGTAACCCAGACAACTGTAAAATTCCTTTTGCTCCCTGCCTTTGTAAAGGCCTCTACTAGCTTTTATTCCCCGTAGTGATGAATTCCCTCTTTTTTTCCTATCCTGACTACATTGTACCACTCCTCAGAGAAGTGGTACAGAGAAGCTTTTTATTCTACATTGAAAATTCTAACCAAATTACTTCTTTTCTTCTGGTATGTTTTCTTTCTCATCCTCTAGGGTAGCCTTGAGATTTTTACAGGGCTTGGACTGGTGCTGGGTCCACCTTTAGGTGGCTTTTTATACCAATCGTTTGGTTATGAGGTCCCTTTCATTACACTGGGTTGTCTAGTGTTGGTCCTGGTGCCTGTGAATATGTACCTGTTACCAAAATACGGTAAGTGTCCTTCTGCCCAGCTCCTCTGGTCAGTCAGTTTGAGGCTCATGTCTAAACTGAACTTCAATTTGATATGTACATAAATGTCCATTAGACAAACATCATCTTCTAGAGTCTGATCCAGCTCAGAGGGCAAAGCTCCAGCTAAATCAATTTGTGCCCTTGATCAGGCCCATGTTTTAATGCTAACTAAAACTAATGCGTGCACATGGCCTAGAGTCCATTTCTGCAAACACTAACATCTCTGTATAGAAATCAGCTGAGATGTATTTTTGTTTCATTGTGTGTCCTTAGCTTCAGGGCTTGTAAAGAATCAGTTATATCTGCTTAATATCAGCTTATCACTATAATCAGTTGAAGAAGGGCTGGAGACGTATTTTGCATGGAAAAAGAGAACTTGACCTATTTGCAGGGTTAATGCCTTCCCCCCACCCCGAATTACTGGGGGGTAGAGTAAAGGTGGGTATTTTTACTGTATGATGCAAGATCTGGTTAATATGAATGGATTGTAAAGTCACTAAACAATGGTTTTAACTGCAATGCTTCAGATTATCTGAATTTCCCTGCATTTTAGATAGTGCTGTTTGGAACAATGGTAGCTTAAAGATAAACCCTCATGAAAGATGATTATTGTCAAGTTCCAGTTGCATAATAGTCTAGTATTGGTTTCCATTGCTTGTTAGATAGCAAGATAATAGGGCTATAAAAGGGAAAACATTGTTTTTTTATTTTTTAGGGTGGAGGGGTGACAGGAAAATGACTCCTAGACTTATGCTACAAAAAAGGATGTAACTTACCCTGTTTTTCTCTTGAGACAGATGCAATCCCTAGCAAGGACTCCTTTTGGAAGCTTATTCTTCTGCCAAAAGTCTTGTTACTCTGTTTTATTATATTTTCTCTAAGTTCAGGCTTGGGCTTTTTGGACCCCACAATGTCTCTATTTATCCTAAAGAAGGTAAGTCTCTTAACGTGCAAGGAAGTAGTGACTTCCTAAATAGTGGATAATTGGTTATAAATCTGATTTAAATACTGTAAACAATATTAGATCTTATCCAATAGAAAATATTAAAAGCAAATGAAAATTAGAGATTTCCACATTACTGACAAATCACAGTTCCTATTTACTTCATCTGTTGATGCAGGGTGCCAACACCTCTGAAAATAAAGAAATCTAGGGCCTTTAAAATATATATCTTTTTCCAGTTAATGGGCTTTCAACTGCATAGTCCTTTCTCTGAACAGGCACAGCAGCTGATTTTGTAAAGTGGGACTTTCCCTTGTTTATGAAAGGTAAATTCTGTAAAATTGCAGCAGTCACTAACACTGTGTCTATAGATGGGAAGACTTGAGGGGGTATAATGTCACTGCTTTGCCTTCTGTTAAAGCAATAACAATATTAAACTGCTTGCAACGATGTAGCCTGTTGGCTGACTTTTTTTCATTCATTAGAAAGCAATTGTTCTGGTGTAGCTTGAAGTCAGGTAATGGTTTTGGAACGCTTTATTTATTAATAGTGTTCTAGGTAATAGCATTTGACTGGTTCTAGTGCTGTTGTATTTTTCCCTCTCTAGTCCAGCATTTAGAGAATTCAGGATAGAGGAGAGTTGAAGCTAACATATCCCATCACTAGAGATACGGATGTATGTTTTGACCATCCAGACAGGGCCTGTGACTGTCCCACTGTAGAGTATTCTGCACCAGTGTGGCACTCCTGCTTTCTGCCTGCACTAGCAGAAAGTCACTGTAGAAGGACTGTAGCCTGCTTTGGTGAGTGTGTTATCAAACTGCTAAAGTAGCATTATTGCTATGTTCTTGCGTATGACAAGGAAATAATGAATACTTAGATAGTTTATGCCACATGAACCAGTTTGGAATACCTTGTAAGTGGTAGTTAAAGCTACCACCATTTGAGGGGTTGGTACACTTGTGATTAATTCCATACTTTGCTTCAATACAGGAAGGTGACTCTATGTTAGGAAACTGTAGACCTCAGGGTTCTTCCAAAAAGCCTTTTGTTCTAATAAAAATCCTCCTCTGAAAAGCGCAAGTTGTGTTTTGTAGAACCACTTGCTTTAAAGATGCACTGATTTACAGTGGAGGACTACTGTATTTATGCCTTTCAAATTGAAAATAAAACTGATGTTTGGAGCCTAAAGTCACCCCAATTTCTCTGTCGGAAATGTCTCTTTCAAATATACTAGATATTGATGTTAGAATCCTGTGTGCTGGCCTAGGGCAAAGCTCCTGGTTACCCTGAAGATTATTTAGGTTTGATTTGTATATAGTCCTGTCAGCCCTTGTCACTCCACACTAAGACATGGAAGTAGAAGGCCAGAGCTTTTTCTGATGGCTTCAAACACTTCACAAATGCCTCTGTATGACACAATAAAACCCAATACTAAGAATTATGCATGAATTTCAGCAGTTTGATCTAAAAAATGTATTTTAGGTCATCCTTCAAAAATGTTATATATATATTTGTGTTTAGATTTTTTTTTTCCTTTCTTTTTCACAGTTTAACCTCCCTGCTGGTTATGTGGGCTTAGTATTCCTAGGTTTGGCAGTCTCTTATTCCGTGTCTTCTCCGCTCCTCGGATTCTTAAGTGACAAGCTGCCAGTGAGTAATGCCCTGTTGTGTGTGTAGTATCAATAAAACACTCTGTGGGTATGTGCATTTGTGTGTATATGTATAATGTATAGTTAATACTGGTGAACTTTTGATGCTATTATTTTGAAATAATAGGTACAGTAAAATACTATAAAGGGATATGCCTTTCAGCATCTTACACTGAATCCTGTCAGCTTAAAGGTCTCCTGTGCAGGGCTCCTGTAAGAATGCGAGAAAGTCCAAAATCATAAAAGACAGTGGACAAGTACCCTGCAGTTGAAGTATGTTAAACCTTTTTGGTGTACTAAATGTAGTCCACTTTTACCACTTTCCATATTGGCTGTAAAGTTGTCACAGTTATTGGGGTTTTTTTTTGTTTGTTTTTTCCCCCCTAATTTTATTAACTTTGGGGAAGAAAAGAATAAACAAATTTGGTCAGCTGTTTTGACTTATATCTCTTAATAAATGTATTACCAGAGTTATTTGTGTGTCAGCATCTACTGGCTTTGGCAGGAGGGCTAGCTGGTTCTGTAGCTCTGTTTAACTGCAGGGTAGGAATCAACTTTGATGGATTTATCTAACGGTGCCTTGTTGACAGCCACTGATCAAAGACACAAAACCACCTAGGTTTTGCATGATCTGCATGAATGACAATGTTATTTTTCTGATGCCTTGTTTTTTTTTTTTTTTTTTTTTTCCCCTAACACAGACTAATAATGTCCTTTGACCATACATAGATGGATGAATTTTTTTTTTTGTGGCCGTTGTTTTTTTTTTTTTTTTTTTTTCCCCTAACACAGGCTAATAATGTCCTTTGACCATACATTATAATTCTGTGCAGTGCTATACGGGGTTTCTTATCTTAAGGAATAGTAAGACCTAAAACATATTTCTATCAGAACATTACTAGTCCTTACTCTGCATCCTAAAGAAACCTCTCTGTTAAGTAGCTCCTGCCAGCAATTGTGCCACCATTTGTGGCAAGGAAAGATGAATTCAATGTTTTTTGCTGGTGTTCAGAACTGACAGAAAAATTGTGAATTTCTAGCTGGTATGTAATGATGGTCTGTATAGTAGCCTTACTGTTTAGAAGATGATTTAGAAGAGGAGGATTGGGAAAGGTGAAATGTTTAAAGATGTGAATTTAGAATGTAATCAACCTACCCTTTTCTTCTCTTTCACAGTACCTCAGGAAATGGCTGCTGATCTTTGGAAGCTTTATAACAGCAGCCTGCTTTTTCATGTTAGGACCTGCTCCTGTACTGCACATTGAAAGGTAAAGAATTGCTTCTTCTCCAACGTCCTTGAACCACCTCCTTAAGTGGTGTTTTTGGTCCCAACTATAATGACCATAGTCGCATATGTCCACAAATCTATAGTTAGCACCTCTGACCAGGAAAAAGCATTGATTTTTTTGCCTCAAACATGAGCATATTAATGTACATCAGTGAAAATATCTGAAAACTGAGATGTGACTAAAATAGAAATGACAGCTTCTTAAAATGGATCTTTTTTATTTACCTTTTGTTGTTGTATTTGATCATGTTACCATGTGCAGCATGGAAACAGCGCTGCTTTTTATTTTCCGTTCCTCACGGTTCTTTGGCATTTGCCATGCAGTAACACAGCCGTCTTTTTCTCTTATTTTTATAATCTCAGTTTCATCAACATTTATCAACTGTGGGTTTTATGTGTTTGGCTGTGCAGCACTGTTGAGTTTTCCCTCTCCCTGTGTAGACTACTGAGAAAAATGCCAGGATATAGCTTTGCTTTCAGCTAGCTGAATAGGACAATGTCCATCTTACCTGGACAGTGCATTGCCATGTTAATTCACAGCAAAACAAACTCTGCTACATTTGCAAAACAGCTGTATGAACCTTTCCTAGATTGTATAGTCTGTTAAAGCTGGTGATAGACTTGTTAATGTGTTGAATTAGTCAACCCTTCCCTCCCAGGCTCACACTTTTTAAAAAAGATAATGCATTTCAAACTGACCTAGTGAGAAAAAGAGATCAGTAACATCTTCAACATTGTTTTCCTTAGCTAAGTCTTTTGGGGCATAATTTATTTAGATTACAAAACTCTACCTGCAAAATTCTTCTTTCATACCACTAACCAAGTCTGGAGTTGAACATATGTATTGTCAAATTAAGCTCATTTTTCTACTGTTCCTGTGCATGCTCCTCCTAAGTAGAACTCCATTTAAAAAGGAAATATTTGACTCAAGCTCAAGATTTCCAAAGTTCTTTTCAAAAAGGCCTTTTCACATGGAGAGCTCTGTTTTCTAGTCCTAGTGTTCATTTCAAATAGGGTTCATTTTGGCTTCAAGAAACCTGGTTTTCTGGTCAGTCATGGAGAGCCAATGCAGAACCTTCAGTCAAATAGAGAGCTGATTTGAAAATGATTCTTGAACAATTAAGTACTTTTAAGTGTCTCTTTTGCAGTAAACTGTGGATGTTTGTCCTAGTGCTGGTTTTGCTTGGCTTTTCCCTTGGCATGTGTGCTATTCCAGTATTTCCAGAGGCTCTGCACTGTGCATAGTAAGTAACTTTGTCTAACTTATATTCCTGTTACCTTTCATTATAGAGAGCTCAAGTTGCACCATATTTTCAAGAGTGTTAAGTGGGTTTTTGTTATCGTTTTTTTTTCCCCTTTTTGAGACAATGTTAGTATGTCATACTTAAAAGCCAACGCTGCTTTTTGTCCTATTTGCTTGATTAAGCACTTCATTGGAAACTCTCGCAGTAAGGAGAAAGCCTGGTGCATTTTCATACACGTGATTTATTTCAGCCTCTTAGGAAGCTTGATAGCCAGCAATTTTACCTGGATTTTCATGGTGCGTTGGCATTAGCAGCTGCACCTGCAGGAGTCATACTTGCTCAAAGTACAAGTTCTATGATATAGTTTCAGTCATGCGCTAAGATGGTCTTAGTTTAATCTTATATTAAAGTATATTCCCCTTAAAACATGAGCTTTCCTTCTTAAAATCCTTCTCTCGTTGTTTCACACTTGACATATGATGTGTGGGGAATGAGTGATACAGTGATAGACAGACATGACTTTGCTGTACGCTCTTTCCTGTTACTGTTTATGTCATATGTAAGTTAAAAAGAGAGAAAAAAAAAAGTGTCCCTATAGGAGTAGACAGAAACAGGAAGATTGAGATACAGTACTGTATTACGCCTAATTTGATTGGTCTTTCTTTCCATAGTGAGAATGGCTTTGAAGAAGGTCTGAGTCTTTTGGGACTGGTGTCTGGGCTCTTCAGTGCTATGTGGTCCCTTGGGTAAGTAAACAGTCACCTTTGGACAAATTGTTAGTGTCTGGCTGCTTTGGCTGTTTGTTTCAGGTGATAGTATTGTCACATGAAAGCCTGCCACGTCACAACTAAAGATCTTTCACTGCAGACATTGTTTTGACCTGGATTCAAAATGGTCTTCAAAACAGATTTCTAGTGGACATATTAAAGTTGCTGCTCAACAGAGGGAATGGGCTCTGAACTTGTCTTCCATGAAATGTTTAGTGTTTGATATTTAGAAGATGTTTTACAGAGCTAAGTTCTCCCATGTGGAATGGGGTAGACAGCATATGTGTCTGACTAGTTTCTTTTAATCCCTCACTCAGTTTCCACATTCACTTTCTTTTGTCCTTCTTAGGACAAAAGCTGTATAGCTTAGGATATAATTTTGTCTTCTCTTACAGCCCTAGCTATTATTCATGGTCTGTGTTTCCTCAGCTTAGCAGAGCACATCTGAACTTCTTACCCAAGAGTTGTAAGAGAAGTGGGTGTAAGGTGCTACTAGCAACACCTTTAAGAGTTGTCACTTACTGGGAATGGACACAAACCTGCTTGACAGCTCTTCCAGCATTTTTTATTTATCAGTCCTCTGTGGCTGCTGATGGGTTTTAATGCTACAAATAACTGAACAACTAGCTCTCCTGTCAAGGACATTTTTACAGAGGTGTGGAAGTGCAGGTAGGGTGCATTAAGAAGAGCGGCTCCAGCAGGTCGAGGGAGGTGATCCTGCCCCTCTACTCAGCCCTGGTGAGGCCACATCTGGAGTATTGTGTCCAGTTCTGGGCTCCACAGTACAAGAGGGATGTGGAGCTGCTGGAGAGAGTCCAGCGCAGGGC